AATGGGAAAAGGACGATGTGAATGACTTGGAAGACAGCTATGGACAAGAATGGGTAAGGGAGGGGAAAGCTCTTCCCTGAGCATCCTATTGGTTCTCCCCTTCTACCACTGTCTTGCCCTGATTGATGCTGAAAGTTCATTTTCCTGAACCACCTTAGTGAGACAGAGAGGGTGAAACTTTTCGCAGTTATTAGGGCTTGGGAACACATTGTTTGGCCTTTGCCAGGACTCAGCCTCATCTCTCAAATTAGATCTCTGGAGCTAACTTTCTTACATTAGTTGTGCAATTGGTATGGAAGAGTAATCAGTCCAGCAACACCCACAGTTGGACCAAATAAATTAAATTAGCATTCTTTCCCTAGTCACCTGGTTAAAGGGGAAAACAATATGTTTCTTTCCAAAGACAAAGAGGTGATCTGCTCTCAATCTTGGTGAAGGGAATAAAGCTTTACAGAACTGCACTGAAATTTCCCTAGAGTTTTCCCTCGTGAGTCTCATGGTCTCCTCTGCTTCTGCTCCCTGACAGACGAGGTACCAGAGGCAGTACCTAGAGTGGACGGGCTACACAGCCTTCTTTGTTGCCATTGTGGTCCAGCAAATAGCAGGTCTGATCATCAGGAAAACCCGGAGAAACTCCATTTTCCAGCAAGGACTCTTCAGGTACTGACAGTGTCTGATCTCATGGCTTAACTCTGGGCCTACAAGGCCAAGGATCAAGAGGTCTGTTGATTCCAAGGGCTCAACTGTGGCCTTGCCTTTCACACACAAGGCATCAACTCTGCTGGGTGGCATCAGTCTGTTGGGTGGGAGTATCACAGTCCCATGTGAATTCAAAATCTGCTTCCTTTCATATGTCTTGCAGCAGTAAAGTCATCTGGGTAGGGATTGCCTCACAGATCACCATAGCGTTAATCCTCTCCCATGGCTTTGGGAGTGTCACAGCCCTAAACTTCACTGTGCTCCGGTGAGTTCACCTTGCAGTGGTGGTGGGAAGGAAAGAACCCATCCCCATTCTGAGATATCACAAAGTAAATCAACATTAGGATTTTAGAGGTTTCTTTCCCCTTTCCAAGTCTTTCAAAAGAGAGAAAAGTATGAGTCAGTTCTATATTAGTCAGAGGCTTTCACCTGTCCATTTTCCCAGAAGAGGAAATGGGTTTTCCACTTCAAAGGCAAAGGATGCCTCTACCGTCATAAGTCCAGGTTAAATAAAAAGCTTTTCATCTTTATATCGTGTGACCCAACGAATCTGTTGTTATTTCCAGTAAGGCAGGGAAAATGAACAAGAACCCCTCTGCCTATTGGTTGGGGTTGGGCCTTTCCTTGGGGTGCACTGGGACTCATCTCCCTCCCTTCTGCTTCCAGGGCTCAGTATTGGTTTGTGGCTGTGCCATATGCTATTCTGATTTGGGTATACGATGAGATGCGAAAACTTTTCATCAGGCTTTACCCTGGAGGTAAGTAGTAATATGATTTGTGAAGCTTTGTTTTCCAACTTTAACAGACTTGATTTCTAATTGACTTTTTTTTCCCTGCCTCTCCAGGTTGGTGGGATAAGAACATGTATTATTAAGACCATCTTATTTCCCAACTCCCTCAACTGCACATTGATGACATCAAAGCTGAGATTCAACTATTTGTATGTGATTTTTATTTCCATCTCCTTGTTTTAAAATATGGGAATTTCAAGGTAATGTTGTAAGGAAGAGGACATGTTTATATGTACATAAATTTCAAGTCTTGCATAACCCAGATATCTGCTGGGGTCTCGCTGCTCCTTAAGCTCTACATAGGATTGCTCAAACCTCCACTCCACACTCTACTGAAGGTCCACAACCTCCCTAAGATTTCTGTAAATTCCTGGGGAACTTATATTTTCATGGCCACCTTACTCAAAAAAGGCTAATTCAGCTGAAGTTTTGCAAGAGATGGAGGTGGCAGCAGGCTTACATCATAGCAACACAGACAACCTCAAGTTTGACTATAAGACGTCCTTTTCAAAAGTCCTCAGTCATCTTGCCATGACACAGTTTTCCTGGCTGCGTCAGCCCTCATCCCAACTTCTCCCCATCTCACCAGTCCTTTTAGGCTCTACTTCCTCCCATCTTACCTTCCCTCTCCCCACTAAATTGCCCCACCTCTCACCCACCACACACCCACTGCCCTCAAGTGGATTCTGATTCATAGCGACCCTGTAGGACAGAGTAGAACTGCCCCATAGGGTTTCCGAGGCTGTAATCTTTACAGAAACAGACTGCCGTGTCTTTCTCCCATGGAGCGGCTGGTAGGTTGGAACTGCCGACTTTTTGGTTAGCAGCCCAGTGCTTCAACCTCACGCCACCGGGCCTCCGTACCCCCCGTCCCCCCTAGAGACAGAAATAATACGGCCTGTGGGAGTGAAACTCTAATTGACATATTGAGGGCCATAGCAGAGATATGCAGAAAGTCACTGTAAATAAAGAGTCTGTGATGCTAAAGATGTGTCTATCAAGAAGGGGCCAACAACAGAGACAAAGAAAAGGGACAGGCCAGGAGGCTGAAAGGCTTGGTCCAGCTGATTCATGCAGCTGGCATCCTTGGCAGGCCACATCCTAATTTGAGGGTGGACATGTCAGGCTCATAATCATCACAAAGCCAAACCTACTTACTCTAATCCCAAGCATACTTAATCACCTTTCTGACTTCCAAGGCAGCCAGGGGAGGGAGGCCTGGTTGGGAGGATGAAGACCTCTTGCTCTGGGCAGTTGTTTCCTAATGTAAGTTAATCAACTGACAACTCGTTTACATACTTCCACCTCTTGTGACTACAGTAGCCATGGAATCAGCCTCTATGAAGCCAGTCAACGCCCCCAGAGGTGGCTGAAGTGCCTCTTGGACCATAGTGAATCCATCATGGTAATTAGTCAACTGACTCTCCCTTGACAAGCCCTGATCTAGGGTGGGAAAGCATGGGTTGGTTCAAGAACACAGTGCAGTCAGTTGTGGTGGTAGTATAAGGTAAGTAGGCTGTCACCAGACCACAGAACCCTGGAGTACCTAGCTCAGTAGATAATGAAGAGCTATTGAAAGTTTTTGAGCAAGGAAATGAAATGATGTTGTCTGTGCATCACTGGAAGACTTGCACAGTGGCACTGCAACAGACAAAGAAGCTGGAGGCAGAAGGATCTGCTTTCTCAGTGGTTCTCAACACTGGCTGTACACGGACATCAACTGGGAAGCTTTAAAATTTTCAGGTTCCACCTAGACATATTAAATTAGCATCTCTGGGGTGAGGTCTGGGCAGTGGTACTTTTAAAAGTTCCCCAGGTGATTTTAATGTGGCCTCTGTCCCACTCTCCCTCCTTGAGAACCAACCGAAGAGACAGATTACGGAAACAACGATGGCAGGCAACTTCACAAGGCCTGGCCAGTCAACTCTAGAGAGCATGAGCACAGGCCTGCAGGGGAGAGCTCTGAATTTTCTGAAAAGCTTGGGTACCTAGAAGGATGGTTCTGCCAGCGACAAAATAGGGAAGTCACGAGTCGGCACAGGCCGGGATATCAGTGAGTTCCTTTGTGGAAGTTGAGTTTATGAGCTGGAGGATGCACAGGTGGAGATGTATAGCCAGCATATGGGCTTGCAAGGAAGGCACTCTTCAGTGTCTATGCAGAAACTACAGCCCTGTGGTGGACAAGAATCACAAGACGGACCTTGACACCAGACTACCAGTTAAAAACTAGTTACTGTCGAGCTGATGCCAGTTCATGGCGACCCCATGTGTGTCAGAGTAGAACTGTGCTCCGTAGGGTTTTCAATGGCTGGTGTTTTAGAGGTAGATCACCAGGCCATTATTCTGAGGAGCTCTGCATGGACTTGAGCCTCCAACTTTTTGGTTAGCGACCGAAACTTTTAACCATTTGCACCACCCGGGCACTCCTGCCACTGGACTATCTAGGCTCAAATCCTGACTCCACCATTCATGAAGGCTGTCACTAGGATAGCTAATCTTTCTGTTTCCGTTTTCTTATCTGTAAGATGGAAATAAAATATTTAGAACAGTTATCTCTTAGCAGTTCAAAAATTGTTATATATTATTATTATTTTAAAAGTCCTTACATTGGCCCACAGGGCCCTAAACAATAGCCTTCTGACCCCCTATTTCTGTGACCTTCCCTCGCTATGTTCCATCCATACGGGCCTTTAGCCTGCTCCTTAAATATGCTGAGCAATCCCCCACCTCAGGGCCCTTGTGCTCACTGCTCACTCTGCTGAGAATGCCTTCTCCCAAACATCCACACACTTCTTTCCCTCACACCCTTCACAAATCTATCTGACCCCAAACCTCTTCACCCCACCACCTCTTGACCCCAACTTCCCCGCCTTGCAACGCACTAGTTTTCTGCATAGCAATTATCAGCATCTGACATACTATATATCTTATATGCTGATGTGGTTTATTGTCCCTCTCCCCATATACAAGCCCTGGAATTTAAGCTGCACGGGCAGGAACTGTTGTCTCCTTAGTTTACTGCTAAAGCCTAGAAAAGTGTCTGGCTCACAGTCCATACTTAATAATTATTTGATGAATGAATGATTAAGAAGATTAGAACAGATTGTCACAGAGGAATGAGTTAAGACACTTAAAAAGAGAAACATACGAAGACCTCCATTCAGAAGGTAACAGGAAAGGGGACTCCAATATGTATGTATGTATTGGAGCCCTGGTGGCACAGTGGTTAAGAACTTGGTTGCTAACGAAAAGGTTGGCAGTTTGAATCTACCAGCCGCTTCTTGGAAACCCTATGGGGCAGTTCTACTCTGTCCCATAGGGTCGCTATGAGTCGGAATCAACTTGGCAGCGATGGGTCTATATATATATATTATATATATACACAGAGAGAGAGATTTATTTCAAGGAAATGGCTCATGTGGTTGTAGAGGCTGGCAAATGCCAAGTCCATAGATCAGGCATCAAGCGTTAGGCTGGAGTCTTCTCCTGACTCACGTAGCTACAGGGGCTGAACAACCCAAGATCCACAGGTCAGACAGCAGGCAGTTGGCTCATGGTTACAAAGGCTGATGAACCCAAGATTGGCAGGTAAGACAGCAGGCTGCTGCCGCAAGTCCCAACAACTGCAAATCAGATGCTGATGAGCTGAATTCAGGAACAAGAGCAAAGCAAAAGTCTGTGACACTTGCCAGAAAATCCACCTATATTGGATACAGGCCACGCCCCCAAGGAAACTCACATTCAACTGACTGGCTACTCACAGCAGATCTCATCATGGAGGTGATCACATTATATCAGATATCATCATGGAGGTGATTACATCATTATACGACTACCAAACTGCATCATAACTGCCAAATCACTGAGAATCATGGCCCAGCCAAGTTGACACACAACCTTAACGATCACAGTCTAACCCTTGTCAACTTGGCACCTGTACACATCTCCTTAAACTATACATAATCTATGAATAAAGACAATTATAATCTCATACTTGCACCTAACATGATACCTAACATGGTACAACTGAAAATGCACTAGCCCTGTTTACATCTTATGCTTTATAAATGAAGAAAACAAAAATATTTGATGCACACATACAAGGTAGAAATACTCATAACAATTACAGTCCTCATTTCTGCAACTAGTCATGTGGTCATTGCTGGTATTTAGAATTACCTCCTCCCACCACCCATTCTGTGTTCTCTTTGCCCTCAGCAAGAATCTCAGATGGTCATTGTTCTTTGCCTGATGGGGTGACCCAAAATTTCATTCCTGAAGTGTCTGGGACATTGCTAGTCATGTCGGAATTGGGTTGCTGTAGTTTTCCATTGACTTTAATCACAGGGCATGGTAATACTAAGAGACACCCTAAGGGATCTCCTGCATTCCAGACATACTCTTCTTTACCTCAATTATGTAGTATCAATCCAATTTCTTCTTGGTAATAAGGATCAATCATACCAGTCAATGTGGTAACTCGCTTCTTTGCCTGTTGATCCAGAGGCATAAAGAGCACAAAATAGCCCAGTAGGATTATTAACTTTCAGTTCAATGGAATCAGTGATATGTCTCCAGCAGGGAACATTCCTCCCTTTGTAACGAAGACCTCTAGACCCGCAGAGCATAGGGTCGTGAGGATAGGAAGCAAAAATTTTGTGAGTGGGTTACTAGGGGTAACAGTGAATGGTGCACCTCCCATTTCCACCACTTGATTCCTGGACCCATGAATCCTGGCTATGGAAGAAACAGCACCATATATTGGATGCTGCTTTAGAACATATACAGCCTCCTGGAGAACACTGCCCCAGTTCTGCAAGGTATTGCCACCTGGCTGGTTCTGTAATTGTGTCTTTAGAAGCCCATTTCCATCGTTCTATCAAGCCAGCTGCTTCAGGATGATGGGGAACATGGTAAGGCCAGTGAACTCCATGAGCATGGGTACACTGCCACAGTTCATTTGCTGT